CTGGTTATGGGTGTTTTTTCGTGCGGCGAGCCCTCCGTTCGCCGAGCGGGCGAAATGTGTTTCCGCATTCGCAACAGATGCGTGCTGTTTGCTGCTGTGGTGGTGTTGGTGCTGCGTCGCTGCTGTCGTGGTCGAGCTGGTGCATGTGTAGTTGCTATCGTGTAGTGCGCAATCTGTCGCTGAAGTATATGTACTCGCTGCATTTGGCCCTACTTAGTTGCTGTAGAGCTTCGGTGCCTCGCGGGCATGCTCGGACCATCTTGCTACGTCCCATTTCTGTTGTGCGGGGTCGTTGCTCGTTGGTGTTGCTGCTCGCATTGAGGTCGAGTAGTCGCAGTGGGATGCGTGGTGCGTGTGGTACTTGTCTCGCTAAGTATTTGCGTCGTCGTGGTCGGAGCTCAGTCTGGTAGTCAGCTCTCTGTGCTACAACTAGAGTTCGTTGGTCTGTGATGCGAGCTGCTTGCTGTTGTGAGAAGTGTGTCTTTGTGGCACTTCGATGTGCTTGTGCTGTCGTAGTAGACGTGGGTGGGTCCCGAGCTTCTGCTTGGTAGAAGATGGCAATTGGTGACGGCTTCCGCCGAGCGTATCTTGATGTCTGTCCTGAGGTGGATGTTTTTGGAGTGCGTTGCCTTGGGTGATGCTAGTGCTGCTCTTTGTTTTGTAATATGGTGTGACGTGCGCCTGTGGTCGTGCATGCTGGGTTGACATGAGCGCCGAGGTAGTCGTGGGTGGGTGTGATAGTGATATGCTGATCCCATTTGGGGCAGTAGATGGTATGCGCTGATTGTGTGAGAAGTCTCTGCAGAGCTTGGTCAGTGCCTTTGCCCCTTAGCCTGTTAAGTGCATAGCGAATGCTGGCTTGCGCGGTCTGTTGTTTAGCTCGAATCCGTAGCTGGTGAGCACTGTGTGCGTCGTGGTTGCAAAGTCGGCCATGCAATGTTCCAAAAAGTCCATGTATCCGCAATGTGTCATTGTAAGCGCGCCGTCTACGAGTGCTGTGCCGGCTGCGTAATCGTCTTGCAATGTGTCTGTGGTTTGGTAGGTCGAGGGCAATCGTGCTGCGGGCCTGGTCTGACGTCTGCGGGCAATAGTGCTGCGGGCAATAATCGGATTGCGTAAGGTTGGTCTGATGTTGTCAGCCAAGTCGTTGCATGGTCTCCAGAATGAGAGGTTGTAGAATGCGTCTGCAATGCTGTTGCCTGCCTGGTCTTGCGCCTTTTGTGGGTTGTGCTGTAAGCTGGGAGCGCTTGCGCGTGAAGTGCGAGGCTCTGTGGGCCTCGATGACTTGGGCTGCCAAGGGTTTACCGCGTTGGTGTACTTCTGGCGTGCCAAGTTGGCTGGGTGCTGCTTCTGCTAGCGGTGTCAATGCCAATGGGAATTCCTTGTCCTGGTATGTTTTCCCGTGGTCGGGTTGTGTTGCGTGGCCGAACGCTGTCTCTCTGACTGCCGTGCAGAAGGCGGCAATGAGGTCGGTGTTATATCGCGTGGTGCTGGTCTTGTTTCTCTGGTTGTAGCTGGCGATGGGCGCGGCCGTGTGCGCTGCGGAAGACGTCGATCCACCTGGGAGTCATCCGCATTGCGCCGGTGGTCGTACTTTCGCGAGTAGCGGTGTAAGGCTCCGTCGGAGGTATATGGAATGTATTTTTGGGGTCTCTGATGCGAATCGTATTGATCGATATTGAGCTGCCTTGCTTGCTGTGCCATGGCCTCTGTGTAGCGGTGTTGCCGTGCCGTGCTTCCATGGCAGAGGTTCTTGTTGGGCGAGTGAGGCCTTGAAGGGCGCGTGTCTTGCTCTGCTCGCTGGTGCTGCTCTGAGCATGTCGTTCCTGGCCCTGCCATGTCGTGGTTGTTTGCGCCGCCTCAAATTCTTTATGGACGTTGTCGTCTTTGGAAGTGAGATCGCGTTATCCAACGTGACGGGTGCAATTGATGTATATGAGTGCTGTTGTAAAGTGTGCCGTCGTTGTCCGTGAGCGCGGCTTCTTCGCGTCGTGCAAAATGCCGTGTAAGTTCGTCACTTTCCTGTTCGTCGGTTTCCAGCATCTTCCCCAGTGAGTCTGTGAAGAATGGCGTGGCTTGGGCCATGGCTGCTCTCTTCCTGGTGACTGATCCGTAACGTAGTGCAACATTTGCGTGTTGCCATGCTGCTCTATGTTTCGTGCATGTCGTGGAAGCTCTGGAAATCGTTGGGTCGTGCTGTGATGTGGCTGGCACGGTTTTGCCTGAGTTGATGGGCCAATGGTGTTCTGGTTGCTGCTAGAAGCTGCCGTGCGGCTTGTTCTGCATCGTGATGTTGGTTGGCTGTGGCCGTGTTTAGTGCCAGATGAAGCTTGCGTATGTGCTGGTCGGTCGATCTTCCAATTTTTTACTGTGTCATGACGTCGTCGAGCTTATGTAGCATGGTGGTAGGACTGCTGTAGCATGTCCCGCGAAACGCATGAGCTTCATGGTCTCAGTGGTGATGTAGGCTTGTCGAGGTGTAAAGTCGCCTGTAGGGAGGCATACTGCTGCTGCGTGAATTGCTTTGGTGGTGCATTGGTGATGCTGGTTGGTATGCGTGTGGTAGCGGCTTTTTTTGTCGAGTAGGTTGGCAATGTTGGCCTGTCTGTTTGGGTCTTGCCTCTTCGCTGGATCATGATATGGAGGTGGTTGCTTCCTTCTTGCCTTGGTGTGTGGTCGCTGGTGCCCGATGGTGGGGCTGACTGGGTAGTGGCGTTGATGTTTTTGGCTTCTGAGTCGTGGTGGCGGCCAGCGTATAGGTCAATAGTGTATGGTAGCCAGTCGTTGGCAGTTGCAATGCAAGCATTTCTATACTTCGTCAGCTTGCCTTTGTTCTGTTTGGCCAGTGAGGGTGTAGGTGCGTGGCTTGCCACTGTGTGAGTGTATGCAAGGTCGTGGGCTGTCATCGTCAATCGCACTTGCGCCGCATTGTCGTCTTCGCCTGGTGGTCGATGTGTTGGTAGTGCTATGTTGCCAATGCCTGGCGAATTGTTGGTGTTGGTTCTTGCGTTGCAATCTGCAAATCTGGTTGTAGGTGGTCGTTTGTTGGCCGGGCTGTCGACTGCATCCCACCACCTGGTGGCGTGTCTGGTGTCGTGTCGTATATGAGGTGACTGCGCGACATGTATGATTTTGCTTATGAGTGATGCCCGTAGCTTCATCATGAGCAGTCGGTTGGAAGAGTGAAGTACTCTGGAGTGCTTCCATTTGAAGTCGAGCTGTCGCTTGGGTGTGGTTGCATGCGGTATTGCTGTGCTGACCAACAAGCTGCACCCTAAGCTGTAAGGGCGTTGACGGCATCTAAGTGTCGGCAGTGCTGAAGCCGCTTCGAGCTGTAATATCATTGATTCCCATGGTGTGAACCTTCTGCAGTCGTGCCTGTGCTCGTAATTGTTTCCCTCTTGTCATGTGATCGAGCGTATGCTTGTCGTGTTGTAGGTCGTCGCTTGTCGCATCTACATTCGCTCTCTGTGCGTTGTGAGTGGCAATCTGGAGGTGGACAATAATCGTCTCGTCTTCTGAGGTTGTGGGTGCTGCTTGTGGGCGTATGTCGGTGTTGACCTGCTCACCATCTGCCGTGATGAGTAGTGTAGGCTGGTGTGCTACGCGGGTCAAGTAATGAAGTCCGTTCCGCTGAGTCATAGGGTCGGCGTAGTGGTCGTTGGTTTGATCTATTTGGTGGATTGTCCACTCTCGGTGTTTATGATCTGCTAGTAGGTCTTGTACAGGTACGTTTGGTTGAAGAAATATTGGGTCAGTTGTGCTTGTTGCTTCGGTGTCAGAATTGAATGCTGCATGCTTTTTTGCTAGTGTGTCTGCAAGCTCATTCCATTGATAATCTTCGTGTCCATGAATGCGGTGTCTGGTTCTGGAATGTTGCTTGCGCGTTTCGTGGAACAATACTCGTGCTATCCTTGTGGTTGGATCGTCGCTGTTTTTTTCTATATGTTGGGGTACATTGATATCGTTGGATGAATCCATGTGTATTTGCTTTTGTAAGTGGGGTGGTTGCTGTGTGGCGTAGAGTATTGGCCAGATGATAGCTGCTGGCACCGCTTTTGTGCTGTCGAATTGCCCTGTGTCGATATCGCTGTGGATGCTGCTCTGGATGATGCCCGTGTAGTATCCGTGCATGCTTTGTTTGTGGTTGTCGTGCTTGAGCACTACGAATGCCCATGCCAATGCAGCCCGTGTCGTTAGGACGTTGCGTTCTGTTCGCGCCTCTTTGCCTGCGCCCGCCAATCCTAATTCGTTTGCGCTTTGCCTAGGTCGGCCTACGGCATGTTTCCGAAGTGAAAAGCGGCAGGCTTGCGCTTCACGTCTGGGCAACGTCAAAAAAAAGGAACAGGAGGAACAGGAGGAGGAGGAGGAGGAGGAGGAGGAGGAGGAGGAGGAGGAGGAGGAGGAGGGGGAGGAGAAGAGGAGGAGGAGGGAGGTGGTGGGGACCGAGGATTTTGTTCAATACGCCTTTACCTATACGCCTGGGGAGCTTTGGCAGCCCGCCTCCGGAGACCTCCAAAAGCCTTTGGGGGTACTTCGTGGTGGGGTGGTGGGTCGAAGAGATCGCGGAGGGGGCAAGGCGGACGAGGTGGCGAAAGATGGGGAGAGGCACCAAGAGGACGTGGAAGGGGCCGGGAGGACAAGCACGGGGGAGTGGTGTGGGCGAGGGGGATGGGTGAGAGGTATCGAACAGGACGAGGGGAGGGCACGGGAGGACGATGAATAAGGGGTGGAGGGAAGGAGGGGGGAGGGGGAGAAGGAAAGGGGGCGGGTGGAAAGGTAACGAGGAAGGAGGGACGGGGGCGAGTAGAGCAAAGAGGGAGGGGCCGAGGACGAAAAGTAGGCGAGTAAGACGAGGAGGGCAGGGTGGCCGTCGTCGTCGTCGTCGTCGTCGTCGTCGTCGTCGTCGCTGTCGCCGTCGTCGTCGCCGTCGCCGTCGCCGTCGTCGCCGTTTGGCGTCGTCGGCGTCGGCGGCATCGGCGGCGGCGAGCAGCGGCCGCCTCGCGCCGCGCCCGTCGAGCGGCAGGTCCACCAGCACGGGCTCCGGCAGCGGCTGCCCCGACGAGTCCTCGCGGGAGGGGGGCGGCCCGATCGCCGTCGGGAAGAGGGGGGAGGGCGGGGGAGGGGAGAATCAGTCCTCTGGGGAGGGTGGGGGGGGGGGCTGAGCGGGAGGGGAGAATCAGGGAGCAGGAGGCTGTAGGCTGGCGGGAGGAGGGGGGAGGAGACGACGGAGTGGGAGGAGGCTCGAGGATCACGGTCAGACGATGCCCCGATGAGGGGCGATCGCCAATCAGGGTCGCGCTGCTCCTCCTCGAGCTTCGGGGCTCGAGGCATTCGTGAGAAATTCTGCCATTTGACAGCGTTCCTGGGGCGCCTTCGTCGCCACGGCTGGGTCCGCCTCGGAGTCCTGGTCAGGACGCGCTTCGGGAAAGATCCGGGTCGAGTCTCGTCCGCCTCCAACTCATCCTCCTCGTCCTCGTCGTCCTCTTCTTACTTGTCATCTGCGTCTTCCTCGTTCTTTTCCCCTTACCCTCCTCTTTGTTATCCTTGCCTCTTATTTCCAACCATCCTGTGTTTGGTTCTCGTTTCGAATGCAGCTCTGCGGTCGCACGCCTTCTCCTTCCCCCCCCTGCCCTTCCTCCTCCCCCCTCTTCCTGCCTCCTCTTGCGCTGCTCCCTGGGTGGCTGCGAACTGTGCAAATGTCGCCACTTTCGTGGGCTCCTGGGCGGCGCGGCGGAGTCGGGGAGTAAACGGACCATTTGAAACCGCGCTTCTCCCTGGGTGGCTGCGACCTGTGCACCTGCCGCCACTTTCGTGGGCTCTTGGGAGGCACGGCGGAGTCGGTGAGTAAAATGATCATTTGAGACCTCGAAGCTCCCTGGGGGGCTGGGAACTGTGCAAATGTCGCCACTTTCGTAGACTTCTGGGGAGCACGGCGGAGTCGGCGAGTAAACGCGCCATTTGAGATCTCGAAGCTCCCTGGGTGACTGCGAATTCAAAAGTGTCGCCACTTTCGCGGACTCCTAGGAGGCACGGCGGAGCCGGCGAGTATACGGGCCATTTGAGATCTCGCAGCTCCCTGGGTGGCTGCGACCTGTGCACCTGTCGTGGGCTCCTGGGAGGCACGGCGGAGTCGAGTAAACGGACCATTTGAGACCTCGCAGCCCCGGGGGCTGGGCACTGTGCAAACGTCGCCACCTTCGTGGGATCCTGGGAGGCACGGCGGAGTCGGCGAGTAAAATGATCATTTGAGACCTCGAAGCTCCCTGGGGGGCTGGGAACTGTGCAAATGTCGCCACTTTCGTAGACTTCTGGGGAGCACGGCGGAGTCGGCGAGTAAACGCGCCATTTGAGATCTCGAAGCTCCCTGGGTGGCTGCGAATTCAAAAGTGTCGCCACTTTCGCGGACTCCTAGGAGGCACGGCGGAGCCGGCGAGTATACGGGCCATTTGAGATCTCGCAGCTCCCTGGGTGGCTGCGACCTGTGCACCTGTCGTGGGCTCCTGGGAGGCACGGCGGAGTCGAGTAAACGGACCATTTGAGACCTCGCAGCCCCGGGGGCTGGGCACTGTGCAAACGTCGCCACCTTCGTGGGATCCTGGGAGGCACGGCGGAGTCGGCGAGTAAAATGATCATTTGAGACCTCGAAGCTCCATGGGGGGCTGGGAACTGTGCAAATGTCGCCACTTTCGTGACTTCTGGGGAGCACGGCGGAGTCGGCGAGTAAACGCGCCATTTGAGATCTCGAAGCTCCCTGGGTGACTGCGAATTCAAAAGTGTCGCCACTTTCGCGGACTCCTAGGAGGCACGGCGGAGCCGGCGAGTATACGGGCCATTTGAGATCACCCTGGGTGGCTGCGACCTGTGCACCTGTCGTGGGCTCCTGGGAGGCACGGCGGAGTCGAGTAAACGGACCATTTGAGACCTCGCAGCCCCGGGGGCTGGGCACTGTGCAAACGTCGCCACCTTCGTGGGATCCTGGGAGGCACGGCGGAGTCGAGAAGTTAACGGACCATTTGAGACCTCGAAGCTCCTTGGGTGGCTACGACCTGTGCAAGTGTCGCCACTTTCGTGGGCTCTTGGGAGGCACGGCGGAGTCGGGGAGTAAACGGACCATTTGAGACCTCGAAACTCCCTGGGTGGCTGCAAACTTTGGAATTGTCGGCACGTTCGCTGGCTCCTGGGAAGTCCAGCGGAGTCGGGGGCCACGCGGACCCAACCGAGACCTCGCGACTCCCGCGAAGTGCGCAATTGTCGCCTTTGTCGTAGGCTCGTGGGGGGCAAGGCGGGGATAAGGGCAACGCAGATTGTGCATCTCTGGCGATGTGCTCTTTTGTGTGGAACGTTCATGCAAATCCGCCGACCCAGTCGGCGTGTGTGTGATGCTGTCGGTGTCGTCGTCGTCATCGTCGTCGTCGTCGTCGCCAGTCCCAAGGAGACCTAGAAACGAACAGAGAAAATAACTGTCATAGTTAAGTCGATTCCCTGCCGTTCTCCCCTCCCTGACTGGGGGGGTACGGGGGGGGTAGGGGAGGGGGTCCCGCGTCAGAATTCTCCTCCTCCTCCTTCTCCTCCTCCTCCTCTTTCTCCTTCTCCTCTTTCTCCTCTTTCTCCTCTTTCTCCTCCTCCTCCTCCGCCTCCTCCTCCTGCTTCCCCCCCTCCTCCTCCTATTCCTCCTCCTCCTCCTCCTCCTCCTCCTCCTCCTCCCCCTCCTCCTCCCCCTCTCCCTCCTCACCCTCTTCCTCCTCCGCATCCTCGTCGGTCTCCTCCTCCTCCTCCTTCCTCCTCCTCCTCCTCCTCCTCCTCCTCCTCCTCCCCCTCCTCCTCCTCCCCCTCCTTCCGCCCCATGTCCCGAGCTTGTGGCAAGGTCATCAGTTGGTCGTTGTCGTTGTCGTCGTGGTCGCCGTCGTCTCCATTCTGGGTCGGCAGCACCAGCCGTGAAGCCTTGATACTATTCGCCTCGCTTGCATAACAGAATATGAATACGTCTCGGGTAGTGGATTTTCCAACCCTTCTGCCTTGGGTTCTCGTTTTGAACATAGCATTGCGGTCGCGACCTTCATTCCCGACTCCCTCCTCCTGTCTTCCCTCCTGTCCTCCTCCCGCCTTCTCTATCCTGCCTTCTACCTGGCTTGTACCTTCCTGGCAGCCTGCCTCTTACCTCGCAGCCCTGCGAACATGTCGCCAGTTTCGACACGTTTTTGGGTGTCCAGCGGAGTGACGCCCCGCGCAAACCTAAAGGAGACCTCGCCGCCCCTGGGGGGCTGCAGTCTGCGGAACGGTCGCCAGTGTCGACAGCTGTTGGGGGTCCAGCGGAGCGACGCCCCAAACATACGTACACTCGATATCGCCATCCGATCAGCCGAGGGGTTGCTGGGGAGTCCAGACGGCCCGCGCAAACCTAAAGTAGACCTCGCCGTCCCTGGGGAACCTGCGATCTGCGAAACTGTTGCACTTGCGAAGGCTGCGGTGGGCTCCAGCGGAGTGGCGCCCCACGCAAACGTAAGTTAAACCTCGCCGTCCGTGGGGGCTGCGATCTGCGAAACTGTCGCCACGTTTGGGGGGTGCTGGGGGGTCCAGCCGAGTGACGCCCCACGCAGACCTGAACAAGACCTCGCCGTCCCTGGAGGGCTGCGATATGCGAAACTGTCGTCACTTTCGAAAAGGTATTAGGGGGTCCAGCGGAATGACGGCCCACTCAAACCTAAAAGGGATCTCGCCATTCCTGGGGGGCCTGCGATCTGCGGAATCGTCGCCACTTTTAATCGCTGCTGGGGGGTCCCAAATAGTGATGTCCTACGCGGATTTAGAATATCCTTGGTTTCCTTCCCCGCGGAAGACCTGGCGGCGCGCCTGCGGGCGTTCAGCTCCCGCGCAGCACGGTGCAAGAAAGAAGCGGAGAACCTGGTCGGCGAGGTCGGCCTCGTTCGATTCTTGCACTGACTGTGAACAGCTGGTCCTTTGTAGCGCCAAAACGAGAGATGGCGCGTGCCGCTCTGCTTGTCCAGACTGCCGCTGGGAAATGATCGCCACCCTCGTTCCTCATCCGGCTTGTTTTGTTCTCTCTCTCTCTCTCTCTTACTACTTCGCCGTCTCACTGCTGCTGTCGCATTACTTTTTCGGCCCCTCTTCCGTTTTTGTTCGGCCCCTAGTTCCCCCCCACTTTCTCTTCGAGCCTGGGGCCTCAGTGTTCGTCCTTTTTGCTGTCCTGTGAGTCGCACGGCGCGCGCGCTTCCCATGTAGCTTGCGCAACCAATGACAGATCCTGCGTTGCCATCTGCCAGACTATTATGGACCAGCTCCTCTTGTCACTTAGTGCACATGGGTTGCACCGCAGGTAATCTTCATGTACTCCTGTATTATCTCCAATTCTTCATTCTGCGCCACGTCTTTCGTTTACTCATCTGCATCATCATTATCCTCATCGTCTTTGTCCTCCTCCTTCTCCGCGTCCGTGTCTGCTCCTCATCACTGTGCCGCCCTCGTCCTGTTTCTCGTCTTCCTCGACCTGCTCGTCTTCCTCGTCCTGCTCGTGCTCCTCCCCCTCCTCCACCTCCTGCTCCTCCCTTTGCCCTCCTCCCTCTACTCCTGCCCGAGCTCCCGCCCCCACTGTTCATCCTCCTCCTGCGCCCTGCCCTGCCCTGCGCTCCGGCTCCTGCTCCTCTTCCTGCTCCAGCTCCTGCTCCTGTATCCCCCGCATCCTGGTCCTGGTCCTGGTCGTCGTCGTCGTCGTCGTTGTCGTCGTCGTCGTCGTCGTCGTCCACGCATTCCCCTTCCTCCTTCTCCAAATGCTCCTTCTCCTCGTGCGCCTCCCCTGCCTCGTTGTCGCCGGCCACTCCCACTCCTCGTCCTCCTGCTCCTCCTCTTCCTCCTCCTCCTCCTCCTCCTCCTCCTGCTCCCCCCCCTCCTCGTCCTTCCCATCCCCGACCTGCTCATTCTCCTTCATCTCTGCTGCTGCTCATTCTCCTTCATCTCCTCATCTCTTCACACGCATTCTTCTCACCCCGCTGCATCACAACCGATGCGCGCAAACATACGGGAACGCAACACGCGCTGATCACGCACGAGGGGCCGTCGATTCAAGTCGCCCCGCTGGGCTCACATGCAACGCGCGCGTGAAAGCAGCAATAGGCTAAAAGGGGTTCCGATGACACAGCGAAAGTGTAGCCTCCCAGGCTAGTCAAGCGTTACAACTGAATATCAATTGTTTGAGTAAGCTCAATCACGGACATCGCCATTAGATAATCGATCCAGACTGTCGAGTCCAACAACTGCCCCACAGTACGAAAACGTGCCCTGACTGACTTTGGCGCCTCGCCAAAAATCCTGATCTCTCCCGCTGCGGGCTGCGGCTATGGAGACAGGAAGGGCTACGGGAGGCAAGGGATGACGAGCGTGAGGGAGGGATATTCAGGGGAGAGCAGGGAGAGGAGGCGAGGGGTGGCGATGGGGGAGGGGAGGGAGTTGAGATCAACGCGGGAGGAAGGAATGGGACAATGAGGAACAGCAGCAGGATTGTGTTCCTGCGCTGTGGGGAGGAGGAGAAGGACAAGGGGGATAATGATAAGACGGCGGAGGAGAAGGAGAAGGAGGAGGAGTAGCAGCAGCAGGAAGGCCGACGAGGGGAGATCACGACGGCGAACACAAAAACGATGATGACGACGACGTCGAGGACGAGCATGACGATGAGGACAAGGAGGACCAAGAGAACGCGGCTACCGCCGACAAGGAGGACGAAGAGACGAGCCCTGCGAATCTGACAACAAGCGCGAGAGGAAGATGAGGACGGCGAAGATGACGACGAGCACACCGAGGACGGCAATAACAGCGACGAGGATGAGGAGGCGGAGGAGGAGGACGATGACGACAATTGCAACGACCTCGACGGGGACGAGGACCATTACGACGACGAGGACGACGAGGAGCACCACGACGAGGACGACGAGGACTCGGAGGACGAGGAGGGGCCTCGGCCGCCCGAGAACCCCTCCTCCTCCTCCTCGCTCTCCTGCTCCTTCTCCTCCTCCTCCTCCTCCTCCTCCTCCTCTCGCTCCTCCTTCTCCTCCTCGTTCTCCTGTTCCTCCTCGTTCTCCTCTTCGTTCTCCTGCTCCTCCTCCTCCTCCTCCTCCTCCTCCCCCTCCTCCTCCCCAAAGGACTATCGAGGGTGCACAGCACAAGCTGCATAACTGCTGCTGCTCATGATACTCCCTCCCTCCATTTGCTGTCCCCGCCCTAACTTGAGGGACCTACGAACCCGGTAAGAAAGGTAGGTCACTTAATATGCCGTCAGACTTCTCTGGCGCTTCCTTCGGTGATAATGTCTCAGACGAGATCCAAGCTCATGAAGCCATGTTGGATTCGGAAGCTCACTTAAGATTTTCGTTTTTGCTGAGGATGTCTGCAGCGAGCCGCCCCAGCACGCTAAACTCCATGTCCAACGCCCGAGCTCAGCATCTCATTTTTCGGAAGATGCCTCGTGTGTTAACTTAGGTTTTGAGAACCAGCGTCGGACAAAAACAACTCCTCCACCATGTCTACTGTTCGAGGACGTCTCAAGCGAATCACCCACATCCGCACTATGTTGAATGTCAGATGCCCGATCTCTAACATATAATTCTTCTGAGGATATCTACAGCGCAACCTTCGTTTTTGAGCGCCAGCGTCGTAGACAACTCCTCCAACATCCCCATTGTGTGAGGATGTTTCAGACGAGCCGCCCCGCACCCACCACACACACACCATGTTGGATATCCGACGCCCGATCTCCAACATCCAATTCTCCTGAGGACGTCTCAAGCGAAAGCTTCACTTCTGAGAACCACTGAGGATGTCTCAAGCGAAACGCTTTCCCCCACACCACGTTGGATATCCGACGCCCAATCTCCAACATCCCTCTTTCCTGAACATGTCTCAAGCGAACATTTCATTTTTGAGAACCAGCGTCGTAAAACCCCCCCTGCAGCATCCCCAATTTATCAGGATGTGTCATGCGGAACGCTCGCCCCGCACAATGTTGGATGTCCGACGCCCGATCTCCAACATCTCTCTCTGGGGCGAACCTGTGAATATTGAGAACCAACGTCGACACGCAATTCATCCAACACCCCCATGTTGTGAGGATATCTCAAGCGAAACGTCACCCCCACCATGATGGATATCCGACGCCCCCGTGGACACGCGAAAGCACTTGCCCCGCGCGCACGACCCCCTCCGCGCACTTACTTTTTACGTGTGAAGAATCCGACGCGAGTGAATTAGTTACCCCCCTGAGGGCTCCGCTGTCGCCCCGAACATGTGAAAACACGTGCCAAACGCATGCGCGACGAGACGCATGCTGGACCCCCCCTTCCGCACACACATTTTTGCGTGCCCCAATTCCGAGGCCACCTGCTCGATACCTCTCCCGTGCACGACCAAAGGGTATTTTTCGTTTTCGTTTGATCTTTTGCAATACAAGCGAACCCTGGGCTTGAGCCCTTTCCAGGAGAGAAAAAGAAACA